AAATATCGAACCGTGACACCAAAGTATCGAACCGAACCGAACCGTGAATTTTGTGTATTGTTGCACCCCTAATATATATATATATGTATATATTACATTTATATATAAAATTTATTTCTGGAAGCACAAGCACCTGCAATGTAACACAAAAATTTAGAAATAAACAAATTTAAAACCATTTATTTTGAGCTTATTAAAACTAAAATGAGAGGTAAACGGGATTGAAAATGGCCTGTATTTATATAGCGCTTTACTAGTCCCTAAGGACCCCAAAGCGCTTTACACATTCAGTCATCCACCCATTCACACACTGGTGATGGCAAGCTACACTGTAGCCACAGCCACCCTGGGGTGCACTGACAAAGGCAAGGCTGCCGGACATTGGACCCTCTGACCACCACCAGTAGGCAACGGGTGAAGTGTCTTGCCCAAGGACACAACGACCAAGACTGTCCATGCCGGGGCTCGAACCAGCAACCTTCCGATTACAAGGCAAAGTCCCAACTCTTGAGCCACAATCGCCCCATGAGAGCATAAGAAGCAAGGGAGATATAATGACCAAGCATATATGAGTGTCACAGACATGCAAGGTTTCTTACCACTGCTTTGAATGCATGGACTCAAGTTTTGAAAGTCCCTTCTTCTGTGTTGTTTTACAACTTTCTTTTCTGTGTTTTTGTGATTTTATGTGTGGCTGTATAGGAGCACTGTGTTATGCTGAACTTGGAACCATGATCACCAAATCAGGCGGCGAGTGCCCCTATTTCATGGAGGCTTTTGGCTCTATTGTTGCCTACCTTTACTCCTGGACAACTATTATGGTGTTAAAGCCTTCATCCTTTGCTATCATCACACTGAGCTTTGCAGAATATGCCTCTACTCCTTTCTACCCTGGCTGCTCTCCACCTCTAATTGTCACCAAGTGTCTAGCAGCAGCGGCTATATGTAAGTTCATGCTTGACAGCAATAAACTATACACAAGTACAGAGTCACTTTAGAAGTTCATACATGACTATACTTTACAATGGAAACAACGATTTTCAGGCCATATTAGCCATTTCAAGCTAATGTGTGCCTTATTTGTAAGGTGTCCAGAACAATGTCATTCCCCAATTTGCAGATGTAAAAAAACAACAACTTTTATTGAAATTAAAATGATTAAAGCTAACTGTGAAGCCTACACATGACTCAGACCACACAGTATTCTTGCTATGTGTTTCTTTTGTTTGTTACGCTTCCACAGTGTTTTGGGGTAAAAGGAGTCAGGTTTCCAGCTGACTCCACTCTCCTGTCACCAGCTCTTCCTCGCTCTGTCAGCTTCTGGCTGATGTACAAGATCGGTCACTTTACCCCCCTTACCTGCAGGGACAAAATGGCCAGCCCTCCATTCGAGGTGTCCATTTGCAGGACAAAAAGGGAGGAAAAAGTAAGGTGTGGGGACCTCCCCAAAGAAGGGCTTCTTCACCTACACAAATGCCGCCTGACACCACTCCATCCACTGGACCAGATCTGGTTCACCCTTCCGGGCACTTGTGGTAGTACACGGGCAGGCTGTGATGGATGCTGTTTCTCCATCTTTGGGTGCACCTGTCCGCCCCCAAAGTGGTACCCCAAATACTGGACCTCCCTCTGTTCAACTGCACACTTCTTCAGGTTGGATCTGAACCCAGCTGCCTCAGGGACTCCAGGATCCCAGCCACCCATTGCAAAAGCTACGCACATGCTGAGCCTTTTCTTAACCAGGCTCACCAGAGAAGCGCTTTCCACCTCTCTTCATGCTTTCACAATGTGGAGGTGACATATTTGTGTGGCTCCTCCCCAAGCGCACCACCTCATAGTTAACGTCCTCCACTTGTAGTGTGACCACAAAGGGTCCTTGTCACATGGTGAGTAACGTTCAGCTTAAAGAAGGAAGTAATGCAAGTACTTTGTCTCTCGGTGAAAACTGCCTGAGTCAACAGTGTTGACGTTACCAGATCTGGAGCAAATTTTCCCCAGATAACCTCCTCAAAGTGTGCAGCTTTGCTCTCAGGTCCAGGATGCATTGAATCTCATTTTTGGCTTGGACCTTTCTTTCAGTTTTCTTTAATCAGGTGCAACACCCCCCATGGCTTTCTGCCAAGCAGTAGCTCAAAGGCTGAAAGTCCTGTGGAGCCCTGGGGAGCCTTCCTCACTGCAAATAACAAAGGGTCTAACCAGTGATCCCAATTGCATTCATCCTTGTGAATGAACTTGCAAATCATGGAATTTAAAGTCTTATTCAGTTACTCCACCAACCCATCAGTTTGAGGGTGGTAGACGTACTGTAGGTCTGAACAGATTTAATTCCCAACAATTCCTACAACTCCTTAAGTGTGTGAGAGACATGAATCATGTGCCCTGATCAGTCAGTATCACTTTCATGATCCCAACTCAGGAGATGACCTGAAACAGATGAGCATTCCAGGAGGTAATACCCGGAGTAGACCATCCACCGGATAGCCATTCGTATCACATCCCTAGCAAATTGTTCCCAGAAATAGGGGATAGGCGTGAGTTATCTGCAGCCTTCACTGTATGCATTTTTCTTTTGAACTTTATGTGCAGAGGTATAATGGGATACTTGTGAAGATCCCTAGGAACACAGTTCAACTCCATCTACTCTGCCTTCATTAATAGCCCATTTGCCATTGGGCATTATTAAAGGCAGAGTGGATTCGCCACTAGGGTTTGGTGGATCAGGGTTTGTGTGTTATCCGTGTCCACCAAAGCCTGGCGTGTACCCCCTTGACAACTTACTGGAATGCTGTACATCCCTCCTGGACCAGGGCAGGTGTTTGGAGCCCCAGGTATGTGAAACACCTCAACAGACACTCAGATCCCAGCCGCCTGCACTTCCAGCACTCCTGTGCCACCCACCGTGGCTTGGATACATTGTCTGCTCCTTCCAGGGCCTGGGCAAGCGGACCAGGTGAAAAATGGTTTGTGGCCCAAAGCACCAGTTGCTGCTCCCCTAAGGAGGGGCCAGGGAGCCTCTATCTCAGTGCTTGCATGAGCTGTGGTCTCCTGGCTGGCTGTGGATCTCTGCTGCCTCGGTCCGTGCAGCCAGGTGGTCCTCTGCAAGGGTGACCGTGGCTTCCAAGCTTGCTGACTGATGGCAGTGGACCCAACGTGCCATTTCCAGGTCGTCCATGAACTGCTCCAGAGCCATCATTGCCACGCCTCTCCCTCTGATGGCCGGGCTGCAGACACCTCACTGCTGTGTCATGCAGCTTCCAGGCCCATATGAACAGCTGGTCCTCTGCCATCATTTGATTGTCCCGGAACCGCTGGTGATGGTCTTCCGGGTAGAGGCCCAAGTTATCCATGACGGCCCGGCAGATGCCCTTGAAGCTTCGTCGTGAGGCCAGCGGCAGGCTCAGAGCCGCCATCTGAGCCACTCTGCCACTGTTACGCCTGTGGCTCTGAATGCCTCCAGAAAGACCCAAGGGTCGTCACCCTCCCCCATCCAGTATATCATCACCGCCAGTGGACAAGGGGGCGGTGGCAAAGTGACCCTCACCCACCTCCCCAAAATCTGTGCCTGATGCTCGGTCCTGAAGTCTCCACAGCTGCTCTCATTGCTCTGCTGCTTGCTCCACATGCATCGCAGCCATTTCAGCTGCCACCATCTGTGCCAGCAGTTAAACCAGCTGTGCGGTTTGTGTCCATCCATCCATTCTCTTCTGCTTATCCTTGTCAGGGCCATGTGGGGGCTGGAGCCTATGCCAGCTACCATAGGGTGAGACTGGCGACCTGGCCAGATCGCCAGTCTGTCACAAGGCTAACACAAAAAGACAGCTTGCTCCACGTGCATTCACACTCATATTCACACCTGTGGGCAATTTAGAATTATGAGTTAAACTAACCCCTAATACCAAGTCTTCTTTGAAAAATCCATTTAATGTTAAATGTATAGGTAGGAAATTATATGATTACATTTTCTGTTATTTTGCAGTGACCATCACATCCATCAACTGTTTGAGTGTCAAACTGGCAAGTTATGTGCAAAACTTCTTAACTGCAGCCAAACTTGTAATCATTCTTGTCATAGTTGGAGCAGGAATCGTTCTGTTGGCACAAGGTCAGTCTTCTTATAGATCTTTACATACAGCTCTGTCTTTAAATGTTTGTGTTAATAAATGTTAACCAATGTATAACCACTAACATTATTGTATATTATGTATTTGTGTCTAGGAAAAACAGAGAATTTTTCAAATGCTTTTGATGGCACTGCAACATCTTTTGGAGCAATTGGACTTGCATTTTATAATGGGCTTTGGGCTTATGATGGATGGTAATTATTTACTTGGTTTCATACTTTCTCAGGCTATATGTGATAATATGATGAGTACTGCTCTTCTGAATTCAAATAAGGGGCACCATCCTCAGCATTCAGAAAAGAAAAGAACAAAACTGTTTTACATCTTTGTTTTTAAAAATGACATACTTCAAACTGCTTGCATTTTTATCTCAAATAACCTTACTGATGTATCCAGATCAGGCAGCATTCAACAAATTACACTAAAATATTTTTAGTAAGCAGATACCATAACCATCAAGGCCCAGGTAGAAACGTGGGCCTTGATGATGAACCTGTGAAACTATTTTAGCTTTCTATACAATTACAGATGATGTACTGGTTGAGTATGTTGTTTTTAGTTATGCATTTCTGTATTACATTGCTAGTACAAGCATGTGAAAAAGTGTACCCTCTTTCTAAGGTTTTACATAACAGGAGATGAGCAAAAAATCATCTAGATCTTACTAGATCTAGAACCATTAAATTACAACCTCATGATGAAATAGCTATGTCCAAATGCAGGAGCAGTGTATGAAAACTGGAATACACTCCACGATTCAGTAGCTTGTAAAACCCCTTTTGGCAGCAATAAATTAACTTAGTCATTTCTTCTATGACTCTCAGTTTCCTTCATCATTATAGAGGATTTCTGGCCCACTGCTTTTGCAATACTGTTCAGTTCAGTGAGGTTTTGGGCATTTGTTTATGCACGACTCCTACCACAGCTTTTCAGCTAGAAAGGGCTGAATTTTGACTGAGTGACAGATATACCTATATTTTTTTATTTGTATTTTTCACTCATTCTCTTGTAGTTTTGCTGGTGTGGTTAGGGTCACTGCTCTCTTGCATGATCCAATTTGGCCAATTTTAACTGTTGGATAAATGGTCTCATATTTGATTCTAGAATGCTTTGGTATATAGAGGAGTTAATGGTCAACTCAATGACTGCAAGGTGCCCAGGTTCTGTAAAACGAGCACAAATCATTACCGCTCTACCACCTTGCATGACAGTTGGTATGAGGTGTTTGTGCTGATATAATTTCTTTTGTTTTTGCCAAATATTCTCCACTTTGGTCTCATCTTTGAAAAGAATATACTTCCAGGAATCTTGGGTTTTTTCAGATGTATTTGCAAATCTTGCTACCATATTTTATTAGAGAACTGAGATATTTTTCTGGCAACCCTTCCAAGCAAAGCCATACTTGTTCAGTATTTTTCTATTTGTACTGTCATCAACTTTAACATTGAACATGCTAACTAAGGCCTGTAGAGACTGAAATGTAACTCTTCGGTTTTTGGCAACTTCTGTAATCCTGGGAATATTGGCACTTGTCTTGAATGTTTCCTACTATAGATTCATGAATTTCAAATTGCTTGCTTGCTTTAAAATGTATACATGGCTTATAACTCTTCTGAGATTGACGAATAGTAAAGTTGTTTCTCCAGTATCTTTACTAACTTCTATCTTTACTATCTTACCTCCCTTGCCTCTGTGTTAACACACCTGAATGATCCAGACTAGAAAACTGCCAAAACTGCCAGTGATCACTGCAGTGTAGTTTATTAGCAGCACCAGTTGGTATTAAACCTTTTAATTTCCATGGAAAACATGATTTAGTGTCATTCATCTGAGGTTGTATTTAAAGGGCAAATAAAACATAAAAGACATAAAAGAATAAGTTACTGCTACCGAAGATGCTGAAGAGGCTAACTCTTTTCCTGTTTATTAGGCCAGAAAAACTGGACTTAATTGGGTTACTGAGTATGTGCATATACATTTGAGTCCAATGCTCTACTGAGAAATATGTATCATATATTTTCCATTTCATTACTTTTACAGGAACCAACTAAATTTCATCACAGAAGAGCTAAAAAACCCAGTTAGGTAAAAACATGCCTTAAAGAAACTCTAGTATTAGGCAATAATTTACAAGGCGTTGAATTTTTTTTAAATAAATTTTCTTTTGTTGATTAATTTCAGGACCTTACCACTGGCGATTGTTATTGGGATTCCTTTGGTTACTGTGTGCTATATTTTGGTCAATGTTGCTTACTTCACTGTTATGACCACAACTGAACTGCTTTTGTCTCCAGCGGTTGCTGTGGTAAGGATAACACTGGTCAATAAGCATCTTGCTACTGGGATTCACTCACCTATACTTTAACAAATGTTTACTTAGTGACTGCAAATCTGATAATCATTTTTATCTAGCTAGTAATATTAGTTTTTAGGTATGATGTTTCAAGTATTTGACAGTTGGATGGATGCAAACAACCAAGGAACTTTATTACAACACTGTCTGTAATAAAAGGAAGAGATTTTATTACTTTTTTGGTGGGAGATTAAAAATTAGACATAGTGATAAATAATATTGATATTAAAGTGTCAAAATCAAGCTTCATATCTTGAATTACTGTAAAAACAAGTAGCAAATACAAATATCTTTTGTCAATCATTGAAAGTTAAAATAGCTGAGAGACGTTAATTTTTAAATTTAAATTCAATCTGTAATAACTTATTACTGATATCAAATTTTAACAGACATAAATGAGAACATCCCCAAAAGACCTAGTTATTAATCCACATGTAATGTAGTATGCCTAAATTTTATTTATTTATGACAGTTGTAAATGAGCATAATAGCCCCTTGTTTTCATACCTTGACGTTAACGCCACAACACGGATCGCGGATCGCCCTGTGCGTGGGGCTGGACGGCGTCAACACGTTAACGAGGAAACTGCGCTAACGCAGTAGTTCCCACCCATGTAATTGAGCATTGCCTGGCACATCCGACATACTGTTTTACTTTTGTCCATGACGCGCTTACCTTCAGGGTCATACTTCACATGAAGACCAAAATAGTTTCAAAGGCCAGATCTGAATGAGGGTGGGGAGGTTCAATAAACCATGTTGCAACGTGCTTAGCTTCTGTCTTGCTAGCTTTTTCTGCGCACAGTGGATCTGCGCTCGACAGTGCAGCCTAGGCAGAGTAGTCGAACGCAGATCCACTGAGCGCTCAACACAGACAGCGTCGTCAGAAGAAAAGTTGATAAAATAAATGTAAAATTTTGTATTGTTCGATACATATGCGTACCGAACCGAAAGCACTGTATTGAACGGTTCAATATCGATACGAGTATCTATCTATTGCTCAGAGTGATTGCTCAATGCTGAGATGAACAATCACTATACAAGCAACTGTTTTATTTAGCCACACTGCAAAATGTTTTTTATTTGGTCAAAGGTCACTTCATGTTGGGATTCTATTGGGATTCTCAGTGAATCGGTTTGAATCAGCACTTGAGCAAAGGGAATTGTAAACATTTTAACAGTGTTGTAACAGACAGAAGCACATGAAGACCTTGCATATGTGTAACTTTTCTTGTTGTTCCCAAACATCAAAGATTTGTAAACGTTTGTGCATTAATTTTTAACAATGCTTCTCCCCTGAGTTATACTGTAATGAGGCTATTGTGTTTACATGATGGTTTATGAAATTATTAATCTTATTGGTCATGAAATACACATAAAAATAAAATGTTTGTGATTACAGCAAATAGCCGTTATGGTCTTTTTCATCTGTTTGCTACTTTAACTAACTGCTTAAATATGCTCTGATATGGTCTTTTTCATAATTGCAGTTGGATGGATAGCAAACAGTGATTCTAAGATATAGTCGCCTTTAATTAATAGAAGTACTTCTACTTGGATGTGTTTACGCCTACTTGACGGTGTACAACGATCCTGAGCGATGAAGCGAAGATTTCCACTTTTGACACATCAGATGGTCATGAAAAAGTGTTTCTTTCTTTCAGGTCCATGTGCATAAATTAATAAATGTATTTTGATAGGAAAAATATGCTAGGTAAAACATGCTTGTACTGGGTTGGGCCCACTTTGGCATTAAGAACTCTTCATGGAATAGATTCAATAAGGTGCTGTAAACATTCCAGTCCATATTGACATGATCATATCAGACAGTTGTTGCAGATTTGATGGCTGCACATCCATGATGCAAATCCCCTCTTCAGCAACATACTGAATGTGCTCTACTGGATTGAGATTTGGTAACTGTGGAGGCCATTTGAGTACAGTGAACTCATCATCATGCTCAAGAAACCAGTTTGAAGTGATCTGCAAAACGTTCAGCAATAATAACTAGGTAACTGGTACCCAGGTGGTGTTCAAATGATGCTTCGTGGGTATGAAGGGATCCAAAGTGTGCCAAGAAAATATCTCCACAGCATGTGGGCTTTATGTCAGAAGCATGTATTCTGTATAGAGAAATGGCAGAAAGTTGTAATTTAACCACAAACAATGATCTTTTCTCAAAAGCCAAGTCCTTTAATAGCTTTAATGCATAACATTAACAACATTTTAATGTCTAAACCAAATGATTCCCTCCTCCAAAGTCCAAATGTCTCTCAAAAGAGGTATTTTATTTTGTGTACGCAGACACTGATCAGTACATAGATCAGTATCTATGCAGAGCCAACTGATAAGGAATTGTTTTCCAGGACGTGAAAGTAATGTTGAGGAAAGCCAAAAATAACAAAACTTTGATTCCAGGAATTGATAGATGAAAGGTTATGGCTATTTCAAGGGAAAGCAGTCAAACAAGCACCTTGTGAATTATTACATGGATAGAATGCCAGTAACAACACTAAGAACTATCACTTTATGCCAATGAATTACAAAATCAAGTATCCTAACATTCATTGTCAATCATTAGCAGACTGCAGAGTGACTGGCCTGTCTCCACTTAATTGTCCACCAGATGTCAGTACAGCACCAATATGTTTATATAACTAAAACTATAGAGAGGGTCTGTGTCATCACACTAATACACCTCATATGCATTATGTATACTGAATAATTCCACTAATTTTGTGTGTTTGAAATATTGGGAGTATAATCAGCTGCACAGTTGGATTAATAGTGAAAAGAGTGAGGAATGGTACATGTCCTTGTTAATGATATTTTAATAATTGATAAAAAAAAAAGAAAGTAGTGATTAGAGATAAAAGGAAGTGGACATCTGAGTTAAATGCGTTTCTTACTAATGAGGTATGAATTACTTGAAAGAACGGCCGCATGCAGAAACTTAGTTTGGTCTTTGTTGCCCTCTACTGGCCAACATTGTCCTGTTTTTTGGTGTAAAATTTTATTTATTTTTTTCTCCCAGAAGGGCCGGTAAATCTGAATTGGCTCTGGACGGTAGACATTTGCAGGGAAGCTGATAACTAACTTCTGCCAAAACGGGTTGGAACTGACTGTAGGATCAGCATGCTGGTTGTGTAGCCCGCTGTATTTGGCTCTGTTTAAATGCACATGTTACAGCAGGATGTTATCCTACAGAATCAACTCAACAGGTTCCACATAAAGAGAAATAAATGTTGACAAAACACATGGCTATACTGGAAATAGATAAGATTATGATTCAGTGCACATCGCCATTAAATAGAACTTAACAGGCTTATTCCATCATATATTTTCTTCCTCAATTTAGGGGATGAAAATTTGAACTAAGCAGAGACGAGCAGTTACGTTGTGTTTCATCACTCTTTAATGGGCATGGGGTCCCAGAGTGAAAGAAACAACATTTTTCATTTGGGTAATGGGCAGAGAAAGTAAAGCTGACCAATCTGAATTCAGAATAAGTTCTGCCTTTATGTAGTGTTAGTGAGCTTGAAATGGTGCTGACGTTTGAGCGGTGTTTAGGGATTCGACACCATTAAAGAATGGGTCAAGTGACATCAAGAGTCATCCATACTACACTCCCTCAAATAACACAAAGATTTGATTTGTGGTTCTGTTGTATATGTGCAACTGACAAAACAAAGCATCATTTATCATGATGGCAAGGTGGCTAGACACATTAAGCAGTTTACTTCTCAGTGTAAAGTCATGAATACAAGCCTTCTAAAAAGATCAAATGCATACAAATTGTGTTTTACTGCTTTGACATTGTCGTATGTCCAGCAGACAAAAGCACAATTAATTGACATTTTGTATTTTTAGAATAATTGGCACGTCATGAAATGGAAAAATATGACAAAGAAGACCCAAGACTGTTGATCAGCTAAAAGACAAGATACAGATGAGAATGGGACAACAGTCCTCTCCCAAAGTCCAGTTCTCCTCATTTACAGACTGTTTTTAAAAGATGAAGGGCTACCATGCAATGGTATATCTCTCCCAGCTTTTTTGAGATGTGTTGCCAGGAAATTCAAAATTAGCCATTTTTGTCTTGAAATCTAACTTTTTTCAGAGTTGGGATTGTAGGGGAGAAAAACCCCAACAAAAACAAAAAAGCAAAATGTACCCTTTTCTTCTATTATAAAAGGACTACAAAGATATACACTGCTGGTTAAAAGTTTTAGAACTCCCCAATTTTTTCAGTTATTTATTGTAATTCAAGTCATTTAAGTCCAATGAAAAGCCTGAAATGGTACAAAGGTAAGTGGTGAGCTGCCACAGGTTAAAAAAAAGGTTAAGGCTACCCAAAACTGAATAATAATGTACATTTCAGAATTATACAAAAAGGCCTTTTTCAGGGAACACAAAATGGGTTAACAATTTAAAGCTGTTCTCCAGCAGTGGAGGTTGATCAAGCCTTGAAAGCTGGTGCTACTAATTCCTACAGATGTTCCAACTTTTCTAGTTTACCTACAACCCCCTCTGTCTACATAAAAGCAGTGAACACACTGTGGTACCATACCCTCGTGAGCATCAGTTGAACAGTATTGTACTGCAGTGCAGGTAGTGAGTAGCTACAAAAATGGCAAAAAAAAGGGCAATTAACAATGGAAAGAGACATTGTTAATTGTCTCTCTTCCATAACATGTAAAAATGAACATCTTTCCTTCAGA